ATTTTTCCCATCTTTCATTCCAGGAAGTATTTTACGTTGAAATCCACAGATACTCGAAACAAATATTTTGTTACTCAGAAAGGTCAGTAATCATTTCACCTCCTGTATGAGAAACCAGGACTGTCTATAGAGATTACTTGAAAGGACATTTTATGCATAACCCTAAGGACAGTTTAGATTATTAAAATATTGGAAAATTTGAAGTTTTACGTTTTGTTCTAAAATAAGTGCAAATGTTCTTTTAAATATTTAAATGAAGAGCTAGAGACATTGGTCAGTAGTAGAGAGCCTGCTAAGTATGCAGGAGACCATTTGGTATGATTCCCAACATTATCAAACATGTGTGTGTGTGTGTGTGTGTGTGTGTGTGTGTGTGTTTACAAGTTTCTGTATCTGTGTGAGTCTATGAGTATAAGATAAGTGTCTCTGTATATGTATAAGAGAAATTTTAAAGGGGGATGAGAAACCTCAGAATAAAATCTTTCCTGGCACTCTCCAATCCTTCCTTTCTCGGATTCACTATGAGATATCTTCTTCATTCTCATGATTCTTTTTGCTAATACCTTTTTGTACATTTTATGCTTTTATTGGGTTATATTAATTACATATAATGAGCCTCACTGTGACATATTAATGTGTGTATGCATGTTTTTAGATGATTTGGTCACCCTCCCCATCAGCCACTACTATGACATACTATCACATACATGTATGTATTTTGATCATTTGATTATGCCTGCCATTACCCACTACTGTGACATGCTAACACATACATACATACTTTCTTGATCTTTGTCAGGCACGTATATGTGTATGTCACAGTTCTCACATGAAGGTCAGAGGACAACTTTGTGGCATCTGTTCTGCCCTTCTACTGTGTGGGCTCCCGGGGATCAAACTCAGGTTGTAAAGCTTAGCGCAGGCTCTTTTACCCACTGAGCCTACTTACCGGCCACTTTTGTTATGTGGCCCAGTGAATGTCATTGTTTTTCAGGGGCATGGGCACCTTATCTACACCACTGGGGGAAAAAAATGTCCCTTTCTCTCCTCGCCCCCCCCAGGCCACTCCCAGTAACCCCTAACTGTATGGGGAAGACTCCCATGACAGTCTCAATGGGCCTAGTCTTGTGCACATAATCATATCTGCTGTGACTGTAAGAGTTCATGCTCCTTTAATTCCAGTACTCAGGAGGTAGAGTCAGGAGGATCTCTTTGAGTTCGAGGCCAGCCTGGTCTACATATAATGAGTTCCAGGATGGCCAGGGCTACACAGAGGTCCACTGTCTCAAAAACAAACTAATGGAAGAGTATAGCAGTCATGCCACAACTGGAGACAACAGTCCACGACATGTTCCCACTTTTACATCCTCTTCACCTTCTCTGAGCTGTGGATGGGGTCACACAGATGCCCCTCTTTGGAGATGGGGTAATATAGATGCCCCACTTATGGCTAAAATTCAACAGTCACTTATTCTCAGAACTCTGAACAACCACGAGGCTCCACCGTTACTGTTGCCCACTCTAAAGAGAAGATTCTCTGACCAAAGCTGACAGCAGCACCAACTATGCAGATCAACAGTTATTTAGAGGCGATTTGATCCGCACGTCGTTTCTCTTTAGCAACAACTGTAGTTCTCTCCTAGAGCCTATTCTTTGTCCAGATTTACTGTACCAGACAGGAATTCCCACCTGCGGAGTAGCCCTCAATTCCAGTGAGAAAGCATTGGTTGACGTCATATCAGCCTTGCCACTACTGCACCAGTGCAAGTCCCTTATTCTTCCAGGGTCTCTCCATCAGCATCTCTGATTGCTTTTTCTCCTCCCCTAACCTCATGCAGTTCTGTAAGCCATTTAAGTCCCCTTCAGCACAGCTTTCATTATTTAAGATCCTTTCCATGTGTTTATCAGGCCAACATAAGCAGAGGCTTCTTCCACTTGGTCCTGTTTTATCTTTCCTGTACACAAGCAAAACCATTCTTCTTGCTGTATTTTAGCATTATCAGTATCGCTTTGAACTAGGAAGGATTCTGCAGCAAGTCTTGCCATCCTGGCTCAAGGCTCCTACCTCTCCAGTTCTGGTTGCTAGTCCCTTCCCTGAACTCCTGGCTCATGATCCAAAGACACTGTAGTGATTGTTTCCAGTTTATTCTACCCACTCCAACATCTAATCCCTAAAGCATTTGTGGGATATGTCTTGTTCAACATGGTTACACATCTAACACACTGATCAATCACTATGCTCAGGAAACCGTGTAAAGATTCTGACTGCATCTGATGACAGGGCCACCTGATGAGACAGGGTTAGAAAAAGTGATTAGAAATCCATTGAGGGGGAAGTGTTAACACAGACTCTTACACTATAGACCAAACTGGCTTTAAGTGCATGGTAATTCTTCTGCCTTAGCCTCCCAAGTGTTAGCACTATAGGCATGAACCATCACATCCAGCTGAGAACAATGTTCATGTGCCCTGGTATATCCTGGGTGAAGTCACAGAGATCATTGTCTCTACCTTCTGAGTGCTTCCATTAGAGGATCTTTCAACACTCACAGACCAGCTCCTATCTTTCTGATTCTCAGAACAACCATTGTATTTGTGGAGTGGTGTTCCGTTCTAGAGTTGGTAATGAAAGTAATCAAATTCCATTCTGCGGTCACTAATAAAGGTGATCAACTAAACTGTGACGTTGTGCTCTGACATAATCTCTAATCCAAGTATGGGGGGAGGTCTCCCTGGAGCCAAAAGATAGGCTAGTAACCCTTGGATAAAGGTCCAGAAGAAATACAGAAGTGTTTAACCATTACATTGTATTGTGTGCAATTAATGCGCGTGCGTGCACACACACACACACACACGTATGATCTATGAGACCATTTAGTGTCGCTCATGTGTATGTGTGTTTAAGCCTAACTGCTTGGCTTTAAATAACCAGTTATGGGCCTCAACCATAGGGAACATCGATTCTCCTCTAAGGAGCCATGAGTTACCTATAGCTCTTCATCTGGGCTTTGTGAAGGTGTCGCATTCACGCTGGCATGTCAACTGGTGCTAGCATTTTGCAGGTCTAATTGAGGTGGCCACAGTACTGAGACTTTCTGGGTACAACTTCCATGGCTTATATAAAAGACACCCTCTCACAGCAGACATCTTGGTCCTCTGGTTCTTGTAATCTTTCTGTCCCTTTTCTGTGACATTCCCTGGGGCTCCTGACTAGGAGTTGTGATGTAAATGCATCAGTAGGGACCATCACTCGAGGTTCTCTGCATTATGACCATGTGTGGCTATCTGTAGTGTTCTCCATCTGTTACAAGAAGAAGCTTCTATGATGAGGAGTGGGAGCTGCACCTATCCAAGGGTATAAAGATAAGGATTTAGAAATTGGAAATTCCTGAATTTGGAAATTATACTGGTTTAGGAAAGAGGCAGGCATTTGGTTTCCATCCTCTTTTTCTTATATGCCTTGGGTAAAGATTTTTCAGTTACCATCAAAACATCCCAATATAGTCCAATATTCCTCTAGGTAGGAAAAATAATATGAAGATATATTTTTTAAAAATATTAGTTTAAGGTGTTAAAAAAGAGAGTTATCCTCCATGAATACATAATGCTTCTCCCACAAGCCATAGTATAGTATCTAAAACTTCCAGTGCCAAGTTTGGGATATTTCCTTATGAATTGTTGGCCAGGGAGGCCCCAGATGCCCCCCAAACAACACAGACGGCTGCCATTGCTCTTGGTTTCCAACCAGAATCAGAGAGTAAGACTTTGTTGCTGAGGACAGCGCACTCATGAGTTGGAGGACACAGAGATATCAAGTTGGAACTGACATGAAAATTTCCTCCCGGCTAGCTAGTGCTGAAATGTGCCATGGGAAAGAAGCATCTGTGGTTTGATGTCACAGCATCCGTGGACCCTGCATGTTATACAGCACTGACCCATCAGGCAAAAGTGCCTACTGGTTCAATTGTGGCATGAATGTCTTGCGAGTAGTCATTCGTTTTCTGTTTGGACTTGAGGTCCACTCTACAAAGGGAATTCATTCCCTGCACTGTGAAACCTAGGCAAACACCCATGGTTGAAGAAGTCATAGGTTCTAGAAAGGAGACCCCTATTGGTCTTTTTGTTAAGTGGACATGTCATTAAAATACAGTCCAAATATTCGTGTTTATATCCATAGAGTGGTTCTGCTCTCAACCTTTAGTTAGAGACTCTGTGTGTTCCTCCAGTGGGCAGTTATTCATGTGCAAACTCAGAGCCGGTCAAGGTACTGAGAATAAGTGACTGTTCTGTGCTCAGAACTAAACCAGCAACACTCTATTCCCCTCCCCCACCCCAATACATGCACACACAGACAAAGAGAGAGAGAGAGAGAGAGACAGAGAGAGAGACAGAGAGACAGAGAGAGACAGAGACAGAGACAGAGAGAGAAACTGCTTTGGATACGTAATGGAGTAAAGATGGGGGAAGTGAGCTAACTTAAGAGAACAGAATCCGCAGGCACAAAATTGACCTAAATATCAGGAGTTAGATGGATTCTGGGAAAGAACAAAGGATAGATAATGGCTCAGGCCCACCATGCATACCAAATGTCTTAAGGTCAAAAGAGTGAGGTGACATTCTTCTGGAACCTCCTCCATGGACAGACAGGTGGGGAGGGCAGCTAGAGAGTGGGACGTCTGGGTTTGAGGAAGGATTGCACGACTACTTTTCCCTCCCTGCTGAACTCCTTTGAATGAGCATTCTCAGAAACCATCCTTGAACATACATGTAGCTGTTATTTTATCTCCAATTATATCTATAAAAGTAAGTTAGGGTTCTATTCTCAACCTCTCACTTTCCCAAGATTAACATGCAAAGAGAGCCAGAAATAAGAGCCATGTATTTCTACTGGAATTAGGAGACAAACAAGATACTCATGCTCATTTATTAAGTTGCTTGCATAGGGGTTGGTGGTAAGGGAGTTCTTACACGATGTCCCTGGCAAACAAGAAGCTGAAGGTTCAGCAGTCGTTCTGGTTACTAGGGTCGGTACCCCAGTGCAGGCCAATGGCAGTGATGTAGTTGGTAGCTCTGCCACTGATGTAGCGAAGGACAGTGTTAGGATGCAAGGGAACAGCATTGAAACTTATGCCTTCTTTTCCTCCGAAAGACAGGCGGCGGCCCTTGTTTGTGATGAAGACCAGCTTCCTCAGATAGTGCTTGTATTTGCCGGACACCTGAATCACTGATTCCCCAGGGTACAGAAAGATCTCTTCCAAGTCTCCTCTTGTGCCACCTACATTGTCACTCCATGTCCTGCCATAGCGTACCTGGAGACTGGAGGCAGAGGTGAGAAGCGAGGGAAGGGAAACACTGAACAGGGTTATCAAAATTCAGGACCTCCTGATCTATATGCTGAGACTTTTAAAGAGGTAACAGAGAAGACAAGTCCCCCGCAACACTCACACCGTGGATATGAATGATGAATGAACCCTAAAAGGTCATACTGAGAACTTTAGCCAACAACAGGGACAGAAAGAACTATCTCAGGAGAGACAACAAGCAAAGATGGACAAGAGAGAAAAATCAATGTGTTCAGTTTGCGGTCCCTGAGAGCTTAGGATTACATGACTTTCCAACTTCAGGCACACTGGAGGAAGTGAAGTTAACAAACAAACCCACAGATCCAGAAACTAGGTCCTCCAACATTTTACCAGCTCATGTGTTACCTGTGACTTGTTGATTTAAAGAAGCATGATTCAAGGTAAATAAGAACTCAGTTTACTATGACCCTCCATTGGCCCCAAACCACAGGAACTTGAAGACTCTTACCCTATGATGTAGTTTGTGTCAACTCGAATACGGATGGCGGTAATGGGACCTTCCATCTGGTTGCCAGAATGAGAGAATCGCGTTCCTGCAACACCTCCATATTCCCCATTATAAGAGGAGGACTTGGCCTGAACTAAAGGGGAAGAGGAGTTGGAGGTAGAAACAACCCAGGAACCCAGCTGTTCCCTAACATCTTGATTCTCCCCACCACTCCAAGCCAGTGCCTAAAAGCCCTGACTAACAGCATTGCAAGAGTCGTTCTTCCCGGGATCCCACGACCAGGCATCTCACTTACCTTCATTGGCAGAGGCTGACACACAGAGAAAGGCTAGAAGAGCAATGGCCAACATTCTGAGGCTGGAGTGTGAAGAAGGGGAAAGAAGAAAGCTTATCAATTCCCCGGCTTTGCACGTAGACCTAGGCGTTTCAATTTTTCAATGTAGACATAGTAGTTGCAGCCTTGAGCTCAGAGGAGACTGTCCACTGATAGTCTTGCTCCTTCCTGATGCTGTTTCCTGAGTCCCTAATTCCTCTGGTCTGGTTGTGGCTAATGTTCTTTTCCCAAGCCAAAAGATCAATCATGACTTTCTGTTGGATTATCTGAGCCGAACCTCATCCTGTCCTGGCACACAGCAGGAAAGTCCTCAGAAGAGGAGGTAGAGGCCATTTCTAAGGCATGGAGATGATGAAGTTCACCAAACCTAGAATCTGAGCAAAGCTCACCTGTGTGAGATTAGCCTGGCTGATAAGGCATGTGAGGCACAGAGGTTAACTCTCTACCCTTATCCTACTGTTGAGTCAGGGGAAAGAGCATTTAGAGGTACCTCTATGTCACCCAGGGGGACAAAGAGAGTGACAGAAAAGATTGTGCCAACATCAGTGTCCAAGCAGTTCTGCTGCAGCTGGGATAGGCTGGGAGGTGGTATAACTGGGGAGAAACTCAAGACGTTAGATCCAAAGCTTCGAGTCGTCATAATCCCTCCTCTAGCAGTCAGATCTTGCTGTTTTCCCGCCCTGAGCATCCATGGTATCCTCATCCCTTTAGCTAGAACTCAAAGACCCTGTGAAACTAGCTGAAGTCCAGGTGCCAATGTTCAAGTCTCCTCTGCCACAATCTAGGCAAAGATTTTAGTATCCCCTCTCCCCAAACTCACTCCTTACCTGGCAGTTTCAGATGCAAAATGATGCTCCAGTAATTTCCAGATCTTTTTATAGCATATCAAGCCCTCCCACTGTTCTTTATCATGTAAACTTCAGACCCAGAACAAATATGATCAACTGCTTAGGATCAGGTGTCTCGCAAGCTCTGAAGCATCTTAATCTACTCTTCCTCCCAAGAGTCACGGGTGGCAAGGTGGGGTCCACTCCAGGCACAGTGACAAATTTCAGGATAGGCAGAAAAACTAGCTAAAATTCACCGAATAACAATTGGGTGAACGAAAAGCTCACATAATCTAAAGAGTCTGATCTAGCCAGGTGGCATGGCTTGCACCTTATGTAAGTGCAACATTTGAGAGACATAGGCAGGAAGATCTTGAGTTCAAGGCCAGTCTGGACTTTGGGGCAAGAACCTGCCTCAAAACTAAAACAAGGAAAAGAAATTGAATCCAAGAGTTCTGGCAGAAGGTTCTCTCTATCTCAAGTGGTCTGTAGGCCTGAAGGCCACCCTTTGCTGGAATAAACATTGTCCGTTGGGCATTTGGAATTCCCCAGAAAGGAAATGTACTTCCAAGCAGAGTCTAGTATTTTCCTGACAATTTTTTATCTATTTCCTGATATTCTATTATGAAAACTCAAACCATAGTAAAGTTTAAAGAATTATATAACGAATCTCTATTTTTTATTGATATTTATTGAGCTCTACATTTTTCTCTGCTCCTCTCCCTGCCTCTCCCCTCCCCCTTCAACCATCCCCCAATATCCTCATTGCTCCCAATTTACTCAGGAGATCTTGTCTTTTTATACTTTCTACTTCCCATGTAGATTAGATCTATGTAAGTCTCTCTTAGTGTCCTCATTGTTGTCTAAGTTTTCTGGGATTGTGGTTGGTAAGCTGACTTTCTTTGCTTTATGTTTAAAAACCACTTATGAGTGAGTACATGTGATAATTGTCTTTCTGTGTCTGGGTTACCTCACTCGAAATAATGTTTTCTAGTTCCATCCATTTTCCTTCAAAATTCAAGCTGTTGGATGGGCACAGGAGATCGCTTCCTATGTATAACCCCAGAAGCACAGACATTAAGGGCAACATTGAATAAATGGGACCTACTAAAACTGAGAAGCTTCTGCAAAGCAAAGGACACTGTCACTAAGACACAAAGGCAACCTACTGACTGGGAGAAGATCTTCACCAACCCCTCAACAGACAAAGGTCTGATCTCCAAAATATATAGAGAACTCAAGAAACTAGACTTTAAAATGCTAATTAACCCAATTCAAAAATGGGGCACTGATCTGAACAGAGAATTCTCAACAGAAGAAGTTGTTGAATGGCCAAAAGACACTTAAGGTCATGCTCAACTTCCTTAGCAATCAGGGAAATGCAAATCAAAACAACTTTGAGATATCATCTTACACCTGTCAGAATGGCTAAAGTCAAAAACACCAACGATAACCTTTGCTGGAGAGGCTGTGGAGGAAGGGGTACCCTCATCCATTGCTGGTGGGAATGCAATCTTGTGCAACCACTATGGAAGTCAGTGTTTTGGTTTCTCAGGAAATTCGGGATCAACCTACCCCTGGACCCAGCAATACCACTCTTGGGAATATACCCAAGAGATGCGCTATCATATGACAAAAGCATTTGTTCAACTATGTTCATAGCAGTATTATTTGTAATAGCCAGAACCTGGAAACAACCTAGATGCCCTTCAATGGAAGAATGGATGAAGAAAGTATGGAATATCTACACATTAGAGTACTACGCTGCGGTAAAAAACAATGACTTCTCGAATTTTGCATGCAAATGGATGGAAATAGAAAACACTATCCTGAGTGAGAACCTTCATTTGGTGATGGATGGAGATAGAGACAGAGACCCACACTGGAGCACTGGATTGAGCTCCCAAGGTCCCAATGAGGAGCAGAAGGAGGGAGAACATGAGCAAAGAAGTCGGGACCACGAGGGATGCACCCACCCACTGAGACAGTGGAGCTGATCTATTGAGAGCTCACCAAGACCAGCTGGACTGTGACTGAAAAAGCATGGGATAAAACTGGACTCTCTGAACATGGTGAACAATGAGGGCTGATGAGACGCAAAGGACAATGGCACGGGGGTTTGATCCTACGTAATGTGATGGCTTTGTGGGAGCCTAGCCAGTTTCGATGTTCACCTTCCTAGATATGGACGGAGGTGGGAGGTCCTAGGTCTTACCACAGGGCAGAAAACCCTGACTGCTCTTTGGACTGGAGAGGGAGGGGGAAAGGAGTGGGGGGAGGGGGAGAAAGGTGGGAGGAGGGGGCGTAGGGTGGGAGGAGGGGGAGGGAAATGGGAGGCTGGGAGGAGGTGGAAACTTGTTTTTTTTTCTCCTTTTCTCAATAAAAAAAAATGAGAAAAAAAATTCCTGAAAAAAAAATTCAAGCTGTTGTTATTTTTTTCTGCTGTGTAATACTCCATTGTATAAATGTACCACATTTTTTTATCCATTCTTTGATTGAGGGGCATTTAGGTTGTTTCCAGGTTCTGGCTATGACAAACAAAGCTGTTATGAACATAGTTGAGCGCATGTCCTTGTGGCACGATTGAACATCTTTTGGATAGATACCTAAAAGTGGTATTATTGGGGCTTGAGGAAGGTTGTTTCCTGATTTTCCAAGGAATCGCCACACTGACATTCAAAGGGGCTGTACCAGTTTGTATTCCTAGCAGCAATGCAGAAGCGTTCCCTTTTCCCCCACATTATTCCTCCAGCATAAGTTGCCATCAGTGTTTTTAATTTTGGCCATTCTACAGGTGTGAGATGAAATCTCAGACTTGTTTTGATTTGCATTTCTCTGATGACTATGGCTGTTGATATTTCCTTAAGTGTCTTTCAGGCATTTTAGATTCTTCTGTTGAGAGTTCTCTGTTTAGGTCGGTACTCCATTTTTTTATTGGATTATGTGATCTGTTGGTGTCCAATTTCTTGAGTTCTTTGTATATTTTGGGGATCAGACCTCTGTCTGACGTGGGGCTAGTGAAGATCTTTTCCCATTCTGTAGGCTGTCGTTTCGTCTTGTTGACCATGTCCTTTGCCTTTACAGAAGCTTTTCAGTTTCAGGAGGTCCCATTTATTAATTGTTTCTCTCAGTGTCTGTGCTGCTGGGGTTATGTTTAGGAAGTGGTTCCCTGTGTCAATGCGTTCAAGTGTACTTTCCACTTTCTCTTCTATAAGGTTCAGTGTGGCTGGCTTTATGTTGAGGTCTTTGATCCATTTCGACTTGAGTTTTGTGCATGGTGATAGATATGGGTCTATTTTCATTTTTCTACATGTTGATATCCAGTTATGCCAGCACCGCTTGCTAAATATGCTTTCTTTTTTTTCCATTTGATATTTTTTGCTTCTTTATCAAATATCAGGTGTTCAAAGATGTGTGGTCTTCTATTTGGTTCCATTGGTCCTCCTATCTGTTCTTATGCCAGTACCCAAATCTCTATTAAAAATAAACGATGGGCTGGAGAGATGGCTTCATGGTCAATCGCACTGGTAACTCTTACAGAGGACCTGGGTTTGATTCTTGGCACCCATATGGTGGTTTACAGCTGTCTGTAACTCTGATTCCCACTTCTGATCTCTGTAGGCACCCAGCATAGACATATATGCAGGCAATACACACAAAAAATAACATGAATAAATCTACAATAAGTAAATAAATAAGATTATGAGACTTTCAAACTGTTTTTTCTATTTAATTCCAAACATATTAAATATTAAAAGCATAGCTGCTGTGTGACAAAGTTTACCTGGGCAGACACAAGATGTACATCTATTCACTCCAGATAGGGAGCCCACGACAGACCAAAGCAGGGATACCATCAAAGTCCAACTTGGTGAACCACTGGTTTTAATGGGGAATACTTACAGGAATCTAGGTGAAGGACTATTTACAAGGAGCAGAAATGATTCTGCACCACCAAAGTCCACGCCAGCATGGGTAACAGTTCAGAAAACCTGGGAACCTGGAGCATACTGTACAAATACCCCCCAACACACAAAATTTTCTCACGGTGTGATATTTGGTTGAAAATAAAGCATTTTTCTTTGTTTTGTGTGTTTTTAAAATTCTTTCTTGGACCTGGAAACTACCTAGATATCCATCAACTGAAGAACGAATGAGAAAATGTGGTACTTTTGCACAATGTATTATT